TTTTGTGATACAGAACCTTGTCAATCTCTTTACTTTGAAGTTGACATGCTGAAATATTTTTTAGAAATAATACTACAGTATATGTCTTTTCATTCAGAAGGATCCTATTACACAGAGTAGGTATAAGAACTTTGTGACTGAAGTGCAGCCATTTTACATTAGGTTCCCACTATTGCAGTAGACCAGGTGAAGAAGCACAAAACTATCGTGCCTGATGAACTGAGGGGGACATTTAGGTAGGCCAGAATAATTTTGCTTTGAAATTAGTATACACCTCATATACAAAGCTCACCTGTGGAGTTCAAAGGAAACAAATGATTGGCCAGATTCTTACAATTCCACTCATAAACCCTTGCTTCAGTGTTCAGCGATGTTGAGAATGTCTTTTCTAACTGTATAACTTTTCTAGAACATTTTATTTCTTACAGTGTGCATTACTAATGGGAATGTGGTCTTTCAAAAGACCTTTGTTGTTTTTATTCTGTTGGAGAAGTACAAAACCTTGGACTTAAAGTCAAGACAATAATATACCAAGTGAGACGGAAGAGGATCAACATTTTTATACCATTAAGCTTGCAGTAAATGCAATACATGAGCTGCACAGTCTTGAGCAGTCTACATGCAGTGACGTGATTTTTTATTAATGTGTTACAAAGCTGCTAGATTCAATTAATGGCAACTAATTAAATGTGTGTTGTTTTGAGTGCCTGTGCCTGCATGTCATTTATTTCTGACAGCTGGTACATTATGTTGACAGGAGTAAACAGAAAGACATCAGTGAATGATTCTGTAGCAAAAAAAAACAAACTGATTCTTACATCACCTCAATCCATGACGAAGCATTTTAAGGTTGTGTTTCAGTCCTGTGTTACTTAATTGAGAACAAATCTCTGATAGTTCTTCTTCTTCTTCTTTTTCACAGCCTTAGTCCCAGACTGTCCTGGGGTCAGCTGCTTTGGTTGCTCTTCTCCACTTGTCTCTGTCTAGCACATCTTCCTCACTCACTTCACATACCTCCATATCTTTTCTCACACAATCTATCCATCTCTTTCTAGGCCTGCCTCTTCCTCTGTTACCTTCCACCTCAAATTCCATTACCCTCTTTGTTACTTCCTCAACGTCCCTCCTCATGATATTTCCATACCACCGTAACCTCGCCTCTCGCATCTTCTCAACCACATCCACCACCCTACATCGTCTACGGATTTCTTCATTTCTGATCTTATCCTTCATTGAAATCTCTGATAGTTCCGAACCAAAAAAAAGGGTTCACAATCTACAGTCAGATTAGTAAATTATTAATTACAAAATTGTGGTCCAATTAAATGATTAAAACGCTCATCTGGAACACTCACCAACAAACACTGGCCATGAGTACCTAGACTTGGAAACCTTGCAGTAAGACAACCTCAAAAACAGCCTAAGCTCTGGAAGCTAGAGGGCAGTATAGTGTACATTATATTGACAACGAAGACCACACTTGTACTGCAGTTATAAAGCAGAAATTGGTTAATCTGGCAATGAAAGGTAATAAAAATAAAAGTGTTACTCAATGTTTTAACTGTGAACCCTTCTTCAGTGTGTCTGGAGGTCACACACCTAAACATCCTTGTCTTTTTACAGATCACACATTGTCACAGCCTCCTGCTCTAACACTAATTAAATAGAAATACTGTGGTGCTGTTTATACAATAACTGAGGGATTCACAATCTTCTTTGTGCTTTGAGTCAGGATAAAAAAGCTGAAAATGATTCTTTATTTTTCTTACACTCATTTCTTCATCGATACAATATTAATATTCTGATGTCTACTGTTTCCAAAGCCATTGCTTAATTTAATTAAGACAGTCTTTGAACATGAGATGAGATTTAATGGACACTTCAGAATTTCAGAAACATTTTCATCTAAATATAAATAACTATGAACTCTTTTTTAAAATTGAAATAAACATCTTGCTTACTGGGATAGGCTCCGGTCCTGAACTGGAAGAAACAGTAAGAAAACAGATGGAGGAATGGAAGGAATTTACATGTTTGAATCAGGGGTGCACAACTTCAGTCATTCAAACTCTGTAATTCAGTAGATTTTACAGGTCTATTTATATGTCTGTCACCTAAAGAACTGGTCCATTTATGCTGATAATTAATTCAAAGAGGTAATGAGAAGTCTAAGTGAGCAGATACTCAGGCCCTCCATACTGGGGAGCTGGTTTGAAAAATGTACAGTAGCTCAAAGAGAAGTGAGCTAACTACAGATCCTCACGTGCATTGGTGTGAGAGGCCAAAATCAATTAGTTTAACCAGCAATGTGGTCAATCTTTTTGTAGTTTCATCAGATGTTTCCTTTTTGTTTTCCCCTAGTTTTGAAATTTAAAATTAAATTTCAATAACGAATGCAGACTAAGCAATCACATATACTGTGAGCCCCCATTCTGTAGGAATTTAGGGAGCAATAGAGGCCACTGCTGGCAAACACAGCCACTGCCAATACAGAAGTGTGCTTATGCAGTAAACTCCTGGAGCCGCCAGCCTCAACATGCAAGTAATAAAACCTGCATTTGAAACTGCAACCTCAAGACTACATGAAACATAAGGCACAAACTGTGACTACATCGTTCTTTTCAGTAACATTCCCCATAATTCACATTGTATGCAGGTTATTATACATTCACCATACTGCTCATTTCAAGATTTTAAAATCCCTACTGTGTTTTGTCAAATTTTTCAGAATTTGAGTAGTGGTGTGAACAGGAAAGTTACATTACTTGTTATTTTGTGAGTTTAATTACAATTATGATGAGTCTTACTCTTATGACTCCAAAATCAATCAGGATCTTTTCAAAAACCAAATACAAGGAGATTTAAAAGTAATGCATGTGAATGTGATTGAGTTTTCAGCAGATTTTATTTCCCTGTAAGCGTATCTGAAATTGCATTCAAAATATAATTTTCTGTTTTGTGTTTAGCTTAGTATTAATATTGTTTGTCTCACGCTATCATAATTGTGGCAAAATTCTTTTTTTAGGTAAATAAGTGACTTCACTTTCCTGCATATCAAACATATCCAAACGCACAGCAAAGGCATGCAAAATTGTCTATGCATTGTAGAAAGCTTAACCTGAACCTTAGTTCAGGAACCCCTAGTCCCTCTATCTGAAGCTAGGCCTTGAAGTAACTGAGTTTGAACTGAACTCCAGTGACTGCAAAATCAATCAGAATATTTTCAGAAACCAACTACAAGGAGTTTTAAAAGTAAAATGTGATTGAGTTTTACCATATTTACCAGCTTTACCAGCAAAGGCATCAGAAATTGTCTATGTATTAAAGAAAGCTTAACCCTAACCCTAGTGCGGGAACCCGTAGACCCTCTATCTGAAGCTGGGCCTTGAAGTAACTGAATTAGAAATGGGCTCCAATGCCACCAAAACCATGCCATGTTTTTGTGCCAGGAATATCTTAGAAATACAATTACCACTAAACTTTAGGTCAAGCTATAATAATGTTGCCTTTAAAATGCAAATAACAAGAAAATTAAGCATGTGGAAAGTGTTTTTTCCAACATTGAAATTTTGTCCATTTTTATGACCAACTGGCCAATGAAAAATTGCAAAAGTGGTCCAAATTTTTTTTTCAGGTAAACAGGTGATATCACTCTTCCTGCATTTCCAATATACCCAAGAGCACAGCAAAAGCGTCAGAAATTGTCTATGGATTGTCAAACGCTGTTCCGAGTTTGCACATCTGTATTCCCTTTTTCTAAAATGAGGCCTTGAAGTAACCGAGTTGCAACTGGGCTCCAATTATACCACAATCACTCAGAATCTTTTCAAATACCAACATCAAGGAGTTTCATCGGTATTTAATACGAAAATAGATTATGAAATCACTTTATTATTTGAAAGTTGTTCTGAGGGTTATCTCATGCAAGGAGTTGTGGTATTAGTCCACGATCCTTGAAATGAGGGCACTCGCTGTTAGGACAGTACTGTACTGTTTTAGGGTTTACAGGCATGTGAAAAAAATGCTTTTAACTTAGAACCGAAAAAAGCCGAATTGCATTAGTTTTGGTTTTATATTTGGTAACAGATTGAAGCAATTTAAACTCTCAGCATCTTAGGTGGTCTTCACTCTTATGTAGTTTGCTGATTCCCTGAACTTCAAATATATGTCAGATGACTATTGAACCTTCAGCAATAAGTATATAATGAGGGGCTTTCTGTCTTCTCTATTGCTGAAGACATTTGGAGCTGGGAATAAGGCCCAGTTGGCTACTTTTCCATCCTGTAGTGCACCCCATTTTTCTAGCTAATAAACTGAGCAATCAAGTGTGAACAAATCCTAAGAGTTCATAAAGTCTTATCAAGAACACATTGTTAAGTATCAGCATGAAGCTAGTTATTTTTGTTAGGATACCAACTAGGCACCAGAAAAGTAACAAGCTTTTTAATTCTGTCTGTGCAGCGCTGGGGGACTTGCCGCAGTATGGAAAGGGAGAAACAGGCTGTATGAGGTAAAGTGAAGTCGCTCTGCAGAAATTTAAAATAAAAATGAATATACCTATACATTCTTGTAGATTACATTCATACTGAACAAAACACCTAAATGCGCACTTATTATATATTATATATACACAAGACCTTAAGTCAGAAACAGATCTGCGAAGGCCGACCCCAGAAAAAACATGTTGCTAATAATAGCGTTTCCTACAGTATTGCGCAAAACATACACAATTTTAAAGGGAATTTCTAGCACATCTACCTTGAAACATGTTTTTTAACTTGTAAAGTATTAATTAAAACGGAGATGACTCTGCTGAAGACTTGTTAATTACAAGATTATGTTCTATGATTTAACATGCATTTGCCATCTCTACTTTCAGCAGCAAGCGCTAATGGAAGAAAATTGTTCTGTGATAATAAGAACTCATCAAGGGAGCCTGTCACTGATTGTCAGCGATATTTTGTGTAGGCTACTTTCTGTACCGGTTGTATAAACTGACTTTTTGTAGTTGAATTTAAAAAGAAATAAACAATACGTTGAATAAAATGCAACATTTAACCAATGGACAAATAAATCAAAGACGTACTGTAAACCTACTGTACACTGACTGCACACCCATAATAAAAATATAGGCGATGTAACAATATAATTAACGTGTCTAAACAAACTCTGCGTTTTTTCTGTTATTGTTCGTATTAAGATGTATCTAAATAAGCACTTGTCTCAGTTTACTGGATGTTACAGATCTGCAAAGTGGAGCTCAGATAACGCCCCACCCCTAACTCTTCGGCCTTGAGTCTGAAGCTTTAGGGCTGTTCTCCTTACGGTATCTTAATATTAAGGATACAGTAGGCAGCTCTTGGCACCTTAATTCCCTCATTTTACATTGGCATTTGCTATTTACCAATTGTCGTGTCACTTACGCACGACAGTCAAGCCAGCCTGTATCAAAATAATGTGCTTTGCTACTTCGTAACGAACTCACGATGGTTGAAAAATGTTTCTGTGGCTCTTAACACTTTCGGTAACGTTACGCACTCTGCTGAATACTGTATGTGATGCAAACTGTATGTATCTATAGAACCTCTAGAACACACAGGAAAGCAGTTTCAGGACTTATCCATCTTCTCATTTCTTTTAAAAATACACCGCGTCTTTTTTATTGGTACGCTGACATTTGTTCTACCATCTGAGATTCTTCACCAATATTTGCTTGCAACTGGACCCTTGGGATTTGGCTTTTGATGAACTTTTTTTTTTTAGAAATACAGTAACACGATTCGTCGTTATTGAGTTGTCAGAGTGATGCATATACAGCAAATACACCAGGGTGCTTCGCTTTATAGGTGAGCATTAACAGTATTTGACTAATGCCATTCCGGGCGTTAAAAGGCAACGCTGCTCAGAAGGTAAGCTTCACTTGTGTATCAGAAAACAAGGTCCAGTTTCTATTCTTTCTCTCCGTCTGTACTCTGGCGCTTTCTGGCGCGTTGTAAATTACACTGCCTTACTGGTAGGCTCAGTGTTGTTGTTGAGCACATGGCTGGGGTCCAATGAGAGAGGCGTTTGTGACCAGATCACTAGTCTGAAGCAAAGCATTTGCAAATTATCCATCGACTGGGTACCAGATAGCATCTTTGCAACCGGCATCTTCGCTTGTATAGAGACAAAACAAACCCCCCTCCCCCCCCAAAAAAAAACTTCCAAGTCGGATCCAGAATTTTCTTTTTTGGCCGTCTTTTTCTGACCATCCATCCTCGAGAAACGTGAATTGCGGACGCTCTTCGTCTGAGCCAACAAGGTTTACTGTACAACCTATATTGGTGAGTAATGTGTCTTCATCTTGTCAACTTCGGCATTCATCCGCTGTGGAGAAGACTTAATTAATCCTAATCTTATCGAAGGTGAGCTTGGCTCTCGGGGTCTTTGGCTCACGCTTTGATGTCATTTCTCATTCATATCAAACAGTTTTGCCTTTTTTTTTCTTGCGAAGGTAGTCGCTTCTATTTTCGAACAAACAGACGCATTTTCAGAAAAATGAAACTAGTCGGGTCTCCATGCATTAAAGAGCATGTTTCCACTATATCCTATTATACTTTGTAGCCTGAGGAAAACTAGGCGTTGATCCCTTGTGTGTATGATGCTGAAAGTTAACCAAATGCGATGTTACAGTAGAAGTATTTTTTAAAACCAAATAGAATAAACGAGGTACTGTACGGTAAGAGACTTATTTTCCTTTCCCCGTGTCTTGCAGGCTGTTAAAACGTCATGACAGCTGAAAAGACTATTCCAGTAATTAATGGAAAACCGGACGAGGGAATGGACCCCGAAGCGTCAAACACCAATTTAGTTCGCAGCAATGACAAGAAAGTGAACGAGAGGGGTCACTGGAATAATAAGACTGAGTTCGTGCTCTCCGTCGCAGGGGAAATCATTGGACTGGGCAATGTGTGGAGATTTCCTTACCTTTGTTATAAGAACGGAGGGGGTAAGAGACCGGAGACTCCTGTATCTCTTTTTTATGTTTATAAGAATATAACAGAACCACCCCGATAAACCGATCGGAAGATTAGGATATGCACTTCGCTTGCGAAGTTTACGCTTAGACTTTATTTGAAAACGGCCTCCTGTACCCAGAATAACCCCTCCGCGGGGCTTTCGCATGATGTGACAGTAACATTTGTGATCCCTTCCAGACGGCTATTGGTCTGGATTCAAACCGCAACAGGTGCTGAAATGTGCCTACTCCGTAATGTCTGTCACAGCAAAGGGTATAGTGTGCGTAAAGGCTTCGAGTTGTGGCTCACATTAGGGTTTGATTTAATGTTTTTATCAATACTTTCCTGTTATTATCTTTGCAGAGATCTAAATACTTTTGAATGTATTAAGTGTGGTCATGGGGGCTCTATGAAGGTGTTGGCAACATTGGACCACCGTAAAATAAAGCTTCATTTATTGTATCATACAAAATAATAATGAGAGAAAACATCAGATACCATTTGTACATATATTAATTGTGATATTGTGATATTAATTGATTAAGTGTGAGATTAATCAAACGAGTCAACCAATGTACATAGTTAAATTTCAACTTCAATAAATAGTAGGAGTGATAATTGATTGTATTCATTTTGGAAACAGACTCTTTAGTTTTATTAGAATTCTATTTAATTTATATGGTACACAATTATCACAAGTATCTTATAGGAGGAATCTAGCACTGTTGGAACTTTGAGAATGTTGGCAAGAATAAAAATGTGTCAGCTGTATTATCGCACACCCCTTTTAAAGATACAGTATGTTGGATATAAAAGGTTAATATTTTCAAATCTAATACTAGGTTAACACTGGAATGAATATGTGCTATACGTCTAAACATGAACAAAACAGTGTAATACTATAAGATGGAAAGCATATCTATATTAGTGTATCTATTTTAACAGACAAAACATATTTATTCCTTTCATAAAAACCTAATATATAAGTGAGGCCGTGTAAAATCAAATTAATATTAAGTTAACATTACAAAATCAAAAAGTATCCTTTTCTAGAAAAGAACAGGATTGCTAGCATTAATGTTTTTCAGGAACAATTCAATGTTTTTTTTTTTAGTTTCCCTCTTGCTCATAAAAACGTTTTCATGTCCAGAATAAAGAAATACTGTATGCTGTTACTGAGCAAATATTCTGAAGTATCTTTAAGACTCCATTCTGTCCTGGGTTGTCATTGAAATTAGTAGTGAACTTGTATTTAGAATTTATAGTTAAATTTGGCAAGTATAAAAATTAAAATCTCAAATAATAAAATACACTTTTACAACATACCGTAAATTAATCTTTTAAGCAAGCATGATTATGTGTCATGTTGCTATCCAGACCTCCACCTGAGGCTTTTGCTGCTAATATGGTATTAATAAAACTTAAAAATAAAACTTTAATAAAAGAAAATTTGCAAATAAGAGTGGCCATTAATCTTGTCTAGCTTGTTTGACATTTAGTCATGTCACTCGTTAATCTGAGGTTCTTATCCATTCATTTCTTGAAAGAAATTATGTATTTGACTCAAACCTGGTAGTTAATGGTTTTTACTTGTGCCATCTAAGGTGAGCTTGTCTTTTGAGATTTGAGCATGTTAATTTTTGGTGGGATTCTATAAGAGTGTTTTCATTTTCCAGCACGTTCACTGAACCTGTCTGATATTTGGCCATTCAGGTGGCACATTACAAGAAAAGTCATTATATGAAATAAGGGTCATCTTCTACTCTACACATTTGCAGTTGTCAAGCAATTAAAAGGAAACTGCTCAGTAAATAAATTAATGTCAGTAAATAATTTTTTACTTTTTTATTATATATGTTATTATACATTATATTATAGATTTACGTCTCCTTGGAGTTACATCAGATAACCCCAAACCTGAAGCTGATATAGGAAAAAGAAAAAGGAAAAGCTTTCTATTTGCAAACCACTTGAGAGAATTCCACTGCAAGCTAGACCTACATTATGTTAGCATGAGTTTGGATTTATATAATGGGTTTCTTTTTGTGTGAAACTGAGGAAGAGACTAACTGCTTGAGAGGTCTCCCTAACAACAGATATGAAGGGATACTGTATATTTTGAGTGAAGTAGAAGTTTCACGTTTAACTGGAGGGATTTTCCTTGAAAATTTAATTGACGTGGCTCATTGTTTTGTTACCTGCTACCAGTGACAGACGTGATTCAGTATTCTAGTGACTGAGGACCCTAGCTTGCTGTCATATCTACTGAATTCAAGCATTACATAGAAAATGGGGAGAATAATGTTTTTGAATTGTTTCTATTTCACTAGATGAGTTAAAACAAATGCACTTTCAGGTATATATTAACACATTTGTTGAGAAATTGAAACTGAGCAATCAATTGACAGTCCTCCCAAAAACCTGTGCTTTAAGTTCTACTGAGATGTTCACCTGTGAAAGAAACTATTTGTTCAACAATTATTCTAGACTTCAGTGGTGTTTTCGTCCCTGAATGTCCCTAACTTTGACATGGTCTTACACTCTTTTTCTAAGGATCTGTTGGTGGATGACAGTAGAAATAGGTTTTGTTTGAGACACTGTGCCTTGGACAGTTCTCATTGATATTCTTTATTTACAGGTGCCTTCCTAGTTCCATATGTGATATTCTTTATCTGCTGTGGGATTCCAGTATTTTTCCTTGAAACTGCTTTGGGACAGTTTACTAGTGAAGGAGGTATTACCTGCTGGAGGAAAGTGTGCCCACTTTTTGAAGGTAACTGTGTGAATATCTGTTGTTCTTAACTCTTGGATTGCATTGGTAGCATATGGTGATGCATGAGCTGTGCCTGTTTTCAAGAAGAAAATTATTTGGAACAAGATCTATTGTAACCTTTAATATTTAGGAACATTGTTGTTTTGCAGGTATTGGATATGCCACTCAAGTCATTGAGGCACATTTGAATGTGTATTATATCATTATTTTGGCATGGGCTATTTTTTACCTGTTTAATTGCTTCACCACTGATCTGCCATGGGCATCCTGTGGACATGAATGGAATACAGGTATGTACTGTATCCTTACTGTAGTTCTATTATATATACAAAATTTATAGTATTGCTGTTTGTGGGTAGATGCTTTAAATGATCTGAGTTATTTGGCTATGTTTCTATAAAAAACGCCTTTTTCGTACAGTACGTTTTCATCAAAATAAAGTTAGTATCAACTGAAATATTTGTCAATGAAGAAACCATGACTCGCCATTAGTTGCAAGGAAACCTGAGATTTTACAGTTACTATCTGAATGAAAGGCGTAGTACTGTCAAACTCATTACGATCACGAAGTCTTATGCCTTCTCATGAATGACCAATTATGGAATCTGTTTTAACACATCACATTCAGCAGTATTCTAATTTGTACCTAGAGGCTGGAATCCTCCTGAAAAATGTCTATGTCCAGACTGCTGTATTTCTGACAGGACCTGCCAATGAGTCTTAAAGAGTGTTATTTTCATCATCAACATCATTTGTCTAAAGTGTGTAGTCTCTTTCAAGACAATTGCAAATTCAAGTCCCCATATAGATAATTCTTAGAGCATCAGACCTGAAATACATTAAATACTGTCAACCTATCCATTATCAGACGCTTAGCTTCTTATTAATGGGAAGGATCACAGCAACCTGGGGCTTAACCTGGAAACATATGGAACAAGACACCCTAGATGGGACACCAGTCCAATAAAGGACATGAGCACATGCACACGGGAAAAATTTAGAGACTAATTTTCTCAAAGTTTATCATACTCTGCAAAAATGTATAATATCCTTTAAAATGTATTCTGAATATTCCATTGACAATGGTTTCATGTATGTCTTAGTTAGGGATCATTATAATTAGCTCCAGTCTAATGCCTGTAATTACGATACCAGATGCATTATCAGACACACTGTTCACTTCTAAGAATCTAAGTAGAGTAAGCTAAAATAAAAAACACATTGCACAACATACAGTCAAGTTGAACAAGGATCAACTATAACCTGTTTTATTTATTATAATCAATTCTTGATTAACATACTTCTTTCCTCACTATTAGAAAACTGCATGGAATTTCAGAAGCTGAATTCTAGCAACTGCACAGTCAACCCCAATGCAACATCGCCTGTCATTGAGTTTTGGGAGTAAGTACTTAGATGGTGTGTTCTTTGTTTGTTCTACGACTACATTTCTATATCCTATAAATATGTACAGTACCAGATGTAATCAGTGAAATGGACTTGTAATATTGCAGATAGTGGAAGTGTTTTCTGTTATGTCATAAATTGAGTGATCTTGATTCTCAAAGTAGCTGTGAGCTTGGGAATAGAGTAATTGGAATGTCTTTGAAAAGTAAGATTGAAACAGCCTTGCGGTGAAGCTGCTGCTGTTTGGGGTTTCACATCACACTGTTCTTGGTCTGAGCTACCTTGGCAGTTTCAAACGCAGCTTCCAGCATCACTGATGGACACTAGACCTGTGAGCACAAGTTTGCAGTCTAGATGCCAAGTTTTGGGAACTGTGGCTCAGTGAAAGACACTTGTTTGGAGTGAATGTCCCTATTATCCAGACATTGGTTTGTACAACTGGGTGAGCATCGCCAGGGTTAAGTGGACTGGCCAAGGAATTCTCATTTTGTTGCACTACCCCTTATTCTGTAGTTTGCTGGGTGCCCATGAGAGCGGACAGTCATCACTTCCACCTGCATCTGCCCTTTGTATGTTGCAATGCCTGTTGTAGGTGTTAAGTGGCTCACAGTGTAAAAAATAGCAGATGGCTTGACTGCACACATCCCAGAGCACATATGCACTGCTATTATCCTTCCTGTGCTGGAATTGGAAGGTCATAGCGAGTGCTGAGTCAAGAAGATTGCCAACTAACATAGGCGTCTGAAGGGCAGAGATCCATTGTTATTGATGATTCTAAGGTGCTTCCAATTTTGAGAATTTGTCAAAAGGTGATACTGGCTTTGTTTGTAAAAATGGGACTGTTGCTTTTCCATTGTGTTTTGATTAAAGAGATTGCCTTTGCGTTTACCAGGCTAACATCTCACTCATTTGGAAAGAGTAGCAGAAAGTCTGTGACCCGTATACTGCCTTTTGTTTGACAGTGTCTGCTGCTTTCCATCTGAAGTAATTGACCTCATGGCATTGGTACTTAAGAAATAATACTTAAAACTTTAAGATTTTATTTCTATCTTGGTGCAGGAGGAATTATCTGTGCTTGATATATGGCTACGTCTGAGCTTGATTCATGCTTGCATATACAAATAGAAAATGGAAACAAGAAGTGGTTTACGTATTTCAGGGGTTTGTTTCCCCTGTTGTGGACCTGGCTGTTGGAGTTTTTACATTTCTGTGTTTGGAAAGTTTCATAAGCAAAGCAGAAACAGGATGCATTGACAGCCAAAATAATTTTGGCATGATGTGTGCTATGAACAGTACGCTTCTTATAATGTACAACTGAAATGCTTAACCTTCTAGTGTTATAATTTGTCATTCCTTTTACATTACTGTTGTCAGCCAGCATCATGAGGGCACTTGCACAGCTAGAGATGGTATGGACATTGTTTTGGCATACTCTTTGCTTGTTTTATGGTGTGAATTTGCTGTAACATCGCCAGTGGAAGGCTTAGAGAAAAAACAAGCTCAAACAATTGTAGCTATTTGCTTTCCGACAGGATAATATGAAGTGTGAATACAAGTGTACTGTTGAATAACATTTTAACTGTACCGTTTACTATACTGTAGAGAATGTTTATGTTTTATTAAGTTATATTGGCAGTGTGAGGAAGGAGAGCAAAGGTCAAAATATTATGTCTCAGAGGGCTGCTGTTTTTACGTTTTTATTTATAGAGGTACTTGTAAGGAAAACTTTGGTACAATAATTTTAATTTTGGTAGGTGGTCACTTCAAGCTCTACCACAAGCTCAACAATAACGAGGAATCTTCCCAGTTGGGGAGGTCTTTCAGACTTTTTCTCCATGCTTTGAAAGGAAAATTGAAGAGATGTTCTGGATACGTTATTCTTTAATCTCTCAGAACATTGTCACCAAGTGTAGTGTGGTTAAACAAGCAATGCAGTGTGTAGCAAAGAACCTGCTGTGTACTGTAGGTTTCACATCACACTGTTCTTGCTGATTGATAGTGACTTTAGCCAGTGAGTTGGTGACAGTTGAGTGCTACATTGGCAGTTTCAAATGTTAGTTCTGCCATCACTGATGAACACTAGATTTGTGAGCCTAGATGTAATTTGCAGATCTGCAGTCTAGATATCAGCTATTGAGAACTGTAAATGTGCTTGTTTGGAACAAATGTGTTCTAAAATCCAAACATCATTGGTTTTATGAAAACTCTCAGAATGTTATAACCAAGGCTGAATGGTCTCCTCTCCTACGTAAACATTCTTATGTTCTTTAGTCTTTATCTACTGTATCATTATCTGTATGTACTTTATCTACAGCACTTAGCAGTATGTTGAGCTATTAAGTTAATGAAGTACAGAACGTATGAAGGCCTTTTGGCATTTTGAATTTTTTTATTTAATTTAATCAGAATTAATAAGGATTTCAAATATGTGTTTGAAGTGTGATTTTTTTAAAAGAAACAGCACTGGTCCTTTAAAGATGAGCAAATCTGAGAGATTATGCCAGGACAAAGGATATTGTTTTTAGACATTTCTTGAAGAATTTAAGTACAAAGTCCTTGATGTACTCTGTGGTGTGCATTGGCTTTTTATGCTTGTTGAGTCTCATTATCTGATCATTTTGTTTATCTTAATCATTAGATTTAATTATTTTGCTATTAATGTAATGTATGTTTTCAGATCATTTTTGTTTGATTAGAGAAAGCAGGCTTTTACAAATTTTCACACATCCTAGCTCTGCTGCAAGTCAGTGGAAATAATAGACTAGAAGTATTAATAGTGAGGATTTCTTTTTATTCCATATTTAATGTTTTTTGCATTTCCTTTGTTCCAGCTGACAAACTGGGAATCTTTAAGTGACTTTTCTAAAAAGTGTTTACTTTGCTTGAGTGTAATGCATTCACACTATTTGTTTTTACTTCTTTTGTAGAAGACGAGTTCTCTCCATATCAAGTGGAATTGATCACATTGGAAATTTACGATGGGAACTTGCTCTCTGTCTTCTCTTGGCTTGGTTCATATGTTATTTTTGCATTTGGAAAGGCCCCAAATCTACTGGAAAGGTAAGTAGTAATCTCTTAGCTAGAAAAAGCTTGCTAGTGTTTATTTAGTACTTGAGGGATAGGACCTGGACTTCATTTTAAACATAAACAATGTTTGCTACTACGTTTTGAAAGAACAATAGCCATCTGAAGTGTGGGGTTTGTTGAAGAATAGAGAATGCACCCAGAATAATAGAATGGTACTATTGAAGCAACCTGTACTCTGAATATCTTGTAAATCTCTTATCCTGTTTAATACAGAAAGTTAACATGCTGTAGGTTCTATATACTTTGCCACTTTTTGGTCAACAAATTACTTGCTGTATTGACCAAATAATTACACAAATGTCTTTATTTAGAAACTGATGTGACTAGTTGTGATCTTTAAAACTGCTGCCCATGTGTTAGTCATTTGTGACTTGCATGTATTAATTAATTGCAAATATTACTAAGGTACTTGAATTTACAAGAATAGTTAAAGATAGAATAGGTGCTGATGTATATTTGCACAAGGCAATTTTGTATCCTTTTACATCCTTCGTGGCCTCCTGACCTGACTAACTCGAACACAGATCACATATGCATGGAGACTGGCTGTTTGAACTTCAGCTTCACCGAACAGCACATTTCAGTGCAAGCTCAAAACAAGAGGGACTGGAAAGAGAACCACTTTTCCACTTTGAGACACAAGGAAGGAAGTTGGAGCAAGTTCATACTGCAAGTTCTAGCGCTGAATATTCTGATGATGGCCATTGTATAGTGTAAGATTAGAGTTTCCAGCAGAAAAGGTCGCACAAAAAGTGAAGACAGAACACAGTGCTCAAAAATGAAGATTACAACAACAAGGTGGTTGTATTCCTTAGTCCTGGACATTATCTAGGGAAAAGACACTTCTCTTGCTCAGGGGGTTGTGTTGGACACTACCATTAAATAATTAAATATCATAGCTTTGTGACTTTTAAGTGTTTTTCAAAAGACACAAAAAATGCCTTTTTATGCAGATTATTATTATTATTATTATTATTATTATTATTATTATTATTATAGTATTCATTACTGCACTTGAAAATCTTTGATTTCAAGTATGCAATAATTAATTGAAATCAGCATAAAAAGGCATTCCCTATTATTTTACTGTGGGAAGTGTGATAAAAGTGATTGATAGATAGATAATACTTTATTAATCCCGTAGTGAAATTGATGTGTTACAGCAGTCCAGCCCAAGACAAGCAAAACAGACATCAGAATAGTTATAAAACAAAAGACAACAAAATAAATAAAAATAAATAAATACATAGGTGTGTGCAAAATGTGCTGA